GAGGCCACAAAGCCCCTGGAGCCGGGCTCCCAGCCCTCCTACAACACCATGAACACTGGATAGGCTGAGGCAGGGGAGAAAAGAAAACTCTACCTCTGGCACGCAGACTGTCGACTGAATCTGAAATATGACTTCTTTGTTTAAAACAACCCAAAAGGACAGCATGATGATGAGGAATTGAGATGAGTTTTAAGATGCAGCCTTTGTGAGAGCAAGCCACATTCTTTGAGTGGTAACCACAGCGCTCTCTGGAAGTATGAAAGGACTATCCTGACTACGTTACCCTGCCTGGGATAAAAGATGTGGTAACAATTGTTCCTTTTCCTCCTCCACACCGCTGTAACTGTGGTGCGTTCACTGTAAGGGTTTGGCTGCTGCGTTCACAGCCTCAGGAACACACATTCACTTTTGGACTAATGGTTTATTGTTTTCAGATCCTTTGCATGCATTTCTGTCACTTTGTTTTATGTGTCACAGGTTTGCTAACAGTGCTTTAACACCTTTTCCTTCATTTGTTTTTATTTCATTGTCTAGCTCCTACCTTTTTTATATTTAATGTATGCACATTATCACCTCCAGCAGTCCAGTTGTGCAGAAAAAGGATTGTCCTTACTCACTTTTGCACCACTTGAACTCATCTTCCAATGTGGTCCTGAACTGAGCATTTGAAAATGCTGAGGATGTTTTGGACCAGACTTCCTGTGTGGAAGAAGTAAGGCACAGCCTTGGTACAGAACCCTCAGACAACACTGTCCTCCTTTATGGTGCTGCCCCCTGCTGTTTACAGGTATGAAGCACAACATGTTACTATAGGAGTCATACTAAAGGGTTGGAAAAGAAAGACAAGACTAACCTTTGTTTCATTGTGGTGATGCAGGAAGTAATTAATTTCAATGGAAAACCAAAAACATATTTCTGTGTGATTTAGAGATCATGAACACTTGAAATGCACTCTAATGTTCATGTCTGTTATTGTTCTTACCATCGAGGTTGTCATTGAATGAGAAGGCTAAATATATCCTGATACTGTAAAATAAGTTGTAAAAAAATTAAAAGATTTTGTTGGTGTATATAGATGTTAAGTCGTATAGTAGATTAGTTAGATAGTAGTTTAACATATTTTCACTGTCGATGTAAATTAAAAATACTTTTTGCCTGTGTTAGGTTGTCATGTTTTGTTCTGTTTTTCTCATAGGCATGCACTCATAGTTCTCATTCAAAAATGTTATTTGTTGTTCAGTCACGCATTATCTGAAGTATTGTAACAGTCCCTTGCTTTGCTCACTGATAAGTGCTCTGAGAGCAGAATTAGATTAGATTATTATTTTAGATATACTTAGTTGATCCTAAATTGGGAAATTGTTTTATCACAGCAGCCTGTTAACAAGGCATTCACACAAATTAAATAAAAATAGAATGAAATGATGATGAATGCGTGCGAATGCTGTAAACGGTGAACATTTGTGGCTGAATTTAGCTGAAAATGCAGAAAAAGCTGAATATGGTAGCTGCTTTTAGCTACACAAATGCAGAAAAAGCTTAATATTTAAAAGAAAAGGTATAAACAACAACATGTATGATGTCCCGACATAGCTGAATAATGTAATAGTTGAATGGTTTCTGCAGCTGAAAATAGGCTGAAGGATTTAAATATCAGATGTAAGTAGCAGTGAATGAATGTGTATTAAGAAGAGAAAAGAAAGTGAAAAGGCTTGGGAAAGCAGCAGAATATTTTGACTGCAAACTTTTCGACAAACCATACGTCACCAATAATGTATAACATATGTGGAACCTGTTGAAGTCAGTATGACGTCTCCATCAGACAGAAAAGAAAAGGCTGAAACAGTCTGTTAAAGTCCAGTGTGTTTGTCAGTGTTTGTTTCTGTGCTGAGCACCTAATCATAACAAATAATCATAGCACCTGTGTGAGCCCAGAGATCAAAGCTTTCAATCTGCCCAGCAACACCATGGTTACCAGCTGCAGCACTGAGTGTCATTAAGAATGCATTGAGGATTATATCTGACAATTTTGCCACCTGTTCAAAAACTATGGCTTCTATCAAAAAATTAACAGACCGTGAGCATCAGGGAACCCCAATGAACTGATTTTTGGTTTTGTGTGTAAAATGATGAATGAAAAGATGGGAGCAGTTTGTCTAAAGTGTATTCTCTCTGTTCTGAAGAAAGATCCGGAACAATTTAACATGGGAATCAATTGGGAGCTAGGTGGACTTTTTGCCTCTTCATGCCCTCAAGAGGCATTTTGTTTAATTTCTTAATTTTATTTTTCAACCTAGGAGAGGTTTTCCTACGTTTTTCATGAAAGATTATGTCTGAGGAGTGTAGGGTTTGGGAATTATGGCAGGTTTAAAACATTTTTGGGGGCAAATTTCAAGCACCACTCCACTCTGTTTTGAGATCAAAGCACTCTAGACTTAACGAGCTGCTCCCATCCACACTAATGTTAAAATCTGAAGAAAGCCTCTTTACCAAGCTCCAAAGTTTAATCTCTCAAAAAGTGTAAAAGATATCAAATCTGAATAAGAATTGAATGGCTGAAGGTCTTCTGATCATTTGAAAGTTGGAATGAAGTCTCAAACTGAAAGTATGTGGAAGGAGAATTTGGCGTAAGGTGTAGGAAAAGAGGATTTAAAGAGTCGTCCCATTGACTTCCATGTTAAAAAAAGAGTTTAAAAAGCTGGATATTTCCAAAAGTATAAAATATTTTTTTAAAGTTGAAGTTTTCCCATCGATTCCTGAAAAGGCTGAATAGTTTAATATTTGAATGGTTTCTGTGGCTGAAAGTAGGCTGAAGTTATGGAGAATCAAAGTATTGGCTGAAATAAGTGGAAAGAATAAAGATTGCTGGAAACAGCATTCACTCTAAATATATAACAACAGTAGAAATAGATTCGTAATTATANGTCGAGCTCGCCCAAATGCGGACAAAATCTAGTTTACCTAACAGACTGCGCACATTCAAATGGATGAAACCCAACCCAGACCTAGCTTTAAAATCAGCAGTAGCAGCGATTTGACTACTACTACTGGGCGGACCAGGGTTAGGTTGTACATTTCCTAATAGTAATAGCAACAATAAAACCAGGCATCTTTTCCTCTTAATCGACACACATACATACATCAAATCTGATATTTACATTCACTTCTTATAGTTGCTACTGTATGGATGTGCAGCAAAGGCTTTAAAGGACTATAGCAGCTGCCTCTTACTACTACAACAATATGTGATGATGATGTTTCCTGAAATGATATATACACTCCCAGGCCACATGTGGTGCACACCATACTTGCCAACCCTCCCGATTTTCGCGGAGACTCCCGATTTCATTGCCCTCTCCCGGTTTCCTCCTGGGGTCATATTTCTCCCGCATTTCTCCAGATTTCGGACAAAATCAGATTTACTCACGACTGTTTCCACTCGGACTTTAATACATCTACACCATTGTTTGGTTTCCATGGTAGCACGTCTCTTTAGTAACGCACGCAACTGAAAGTCTGAGAGGGTGTTCAGCATGGTGAGGAACTCTACCCTCTGCTCGCTCCTTTCCTGTAAAATACAGGTCCAGCAAACACATATGCTCCATCAAGGATGGTGCTACAGCCAGCAAGGCATTGCACTTAACACTACAATAAACATGTGTAGATGTTCAGAAGTCAGTTTCCCCGCTGCGAGGCTAACAGTTCTAACAGCACCAGCGATCAACTAGCACCCCCCGCGCGGTGGTTTTGAAAAGGTGATGCTGATTTCTGAGGCCTCAAGGTTGGCAAGTATGGGCATGGGATATTTAATAAAACATACAGACACATAAGTCTCCACTGTATCTGATTCTTCCAACAAAAGGTCCTCTTTTTCTGGAAATGAGTTCACTGGCTGCATTGGAAAGTCAAATTTAAAATAATTGTGTTTCTGTTCCACAGTTGAAAATGTGGAACACTGTGAGTTTGCCAACCTGAGAGATCTGCTCATCAGGTGAGATTGACTGTGTTACTACACCTTATCATAAAAACATGTCATTTGTGAGAACCGCAAGAGTCACTGAATGTTAAACAAACCACTGCGATGGTCAATAGGCGCGTTCACACCGCAGTACTTTTCCCACTTTAGTTCTGATATAGTTCCGAAATGTCGTATTCACACCAAAAAGAGCCGGAACTAAAATTAGTTAATCAGAACCTTTTTTGCCCCCTTTTCAGTCCCTGCTAGAGAGCAGGGACTTTCGTGGGAGAAAAAGGTTCCTGTGTCTGATTGGCTGGGCGGAATGCAAACCACGCCCCGTCAAACTCCCAAAAACCTTTGTGAAGCCGCCATTTTATNATTTTTTATAATTACGAATCTATTTCTACTGTTGTTATATATTTAGAGTGAATGCTGTTTCCAGCAGTATTGGCTGAAATAAGTGGAAAGAATAAAGATTGCTGGAAACAGCATTCACTCTAAATATATAACAACAGTAGAAATAGATTCGTAATTATAAAAAATGCAAGATACGTAATATACAGAATAAGTTAATACAAATATATACATAGGATACTACATACATTACACAAGTGTGCAAGTGATTTTCAAATTTTTGAAATGTCTTAAATGTAAGTCTAATGAAAGAATCAAACAGTGGTTCTGTTTCTTATTCAGTGCATTTAATCAAAAACATCTCTGGTTGGAGATACAAAATGGTATGCTCCGACTGTTGTGATTCTAAATTGAAAAAGGAATTTAACTCAATGTTTCAGAATATTAAAGCTTCAAATAAGATTGAAGGAGTCGTCATTGTTTTAAACGTTGCATCTTTTCTCCTTAGCAAAATAAATACTGCAGCTTCCTCCGGGGCCATAAGTGAAAATACTGCAATTAGAGTTCCATTCACAGAATGCTGTTTAAGCAGTTTGCTTTCAACCAACATGTCAAACCTCTGCCTTAAAGTTAGTGTACTTCATGCATTAATACATCATGTAAAGAATAAAAATACAGCATGGTTTCATTTCACATTTTATTCAAAATATCAGTATAGTTAAACAGCATTTGCATTTATAAAAATTACATCTACCGTAAATACATAGTGTCCAGGCATTCTGCCCTCAATTAAACATAACCATTCAAATATTCATAGAGAAAATACAAGTCAATAAAATAACTGCCATGACTGTACATTAATAAACCATTAGAAAATAGAAAAATATGGAACGACATAACTCATCTTGTTCACAAATACTCCATTTATAAATAGACTGCAGTCCAGGTACTCAAAAGAGCAACTGATCTAAAACAGGATCAAAGTACAAACGCCTGACAGAAAGGTATCATGTGTTCCCAAACTATTTATCATTATTTACCATTTCAACAGAGATGGATTACATGCTAGATCAACATACAGCTGGTTACGATGCAGTTCAAAACACCTGACCAAAGTGGTTTTCTTTGAAAGAATTAACATAACATTGGGCTTCACTTCACGGGTTCAAATTAATTATTAGGCTTAGTTTTACCACTGCTAAATAAATTTACAAAAGTGCAAGAATTCAGATGTAAACCAGACAACACGAGTGGACCCCCCTAAACTGACCTAATGGTAAACCAGTGTTCACAGGCTGTCAGGCAGCACCACCTACACTCCATCAGCCAACATGGCTAACAGCGTGCTGCTCCACACCCAGGAGGACGGATCAGTAATATCACATCTGTACAACAGAATCTGTGTAGTGGTTGTGACACAGTGGCTCTGAACTGCTACATTGAATCCATGACAATGTGTTAGCACAGAATACTGTAAAGCTATTTGAATAGAAACATCTGTTGAACAGTCCGCTGGTAGAGAGGCAGGAGATTTTCACTGAGCATTATTCTTTACTGCTAAAATAGGATACATGAAAATATACTGTACCTCCGGTTGGTGAAGTATAACTGATAATGAACTGATGGATACAAAGAAGAATCTCAAAGTTAACAATAACCTTAAATAATTATACACATTGAAAAGAAAATACCAGTTCTTGTGAATTTCTTCTGAATAAAACTCACATTTTCTGGGCGCTGCTATTCTTAAAATCCTGACCTCATCTCTTAGCACCTGATACCGGGCCCCCTGTTCGATCTCAGTGATAAATATGAGGCTAAAATGTTTCTTCATAGAAGTTTGAACCATAATATACTAGTGTATCAGTTATTCTCCTTCGAATACCAGCCTCACCACATCCTCTCACATTGTACAAGTGTTATAAAGGGATTTATCTCATGTGTTCAGTCCACTGTTCACAACAACAGTAACTGTAATGGTTACTGATTTTTTCCCCTACTCTAGGTAAACCAGGATGTTCAATGTGAACTCAGTTTTACTCGAAGCTGTGATACATTTGACAAATGTTCTGTTATGTTCCTCTTACATCTTCTTATTTGCTGTATAAATCCTGTTATATAATCTGACACCTCCCTTCCCCTCCCTAGTTCCTATTAACTTAGTCACACTGGACACTGTAGTAAAATGCTTTTCAGCCGTTCCTTATAAGCTGACTCATTAAAAAACAGCCTTATCTGGTTTACTGCCCACATAGTTTTCACCGTGACTTGACCTCCATTTTTGCCAGTGAAACACTAACGCTTTATGTTTTACAAAAAGCTGCCAGATGCTTCACAGCTAATCTTCATGCTAGCCCAATTTTAGCATTTCCTGTCTTAGACGCCTACCGTTTCAAATTCTAACTACATTCTAAAACCCATTATACACTTTTCATTGAGGAATATATAAAAACAAAGTGAATATTTGATTTGTTTGATAATTCAGTCTCTTTGCCTTTCAGTTCACTGTTCACTAACTTAGTGAATGCTGTTCAGGCTATTTATTTGCAGAATCACGAGGCGATCAGGACTCCACCAGGATCTCCATCAGATGCTCCAGATCCAGTCCTTCTCTCACATGATTCTGACTCGAGAAGTGTGGCGACGAAAGGGAAGGTAGAGAGGAGGACAACGGGCCGAATGAGGAGAGCGAAGGCAGGCACTTCAGATTCTGGTTGAGAGAAAGGGAGAAGGGGTGTGAGGGGGAGGAGGAGAAAGGTGGCAGATACCGTAAAAGGTCATCCCCAGTCGGGCATTCACCTCCACTGCCTATAAGCCCAAGAACTTCCATGTCTCTCTCCAGCAGGGATGTGTCTATATCCTGGAACAGGTCCTCCACAGTGAGCTCACTGAGGTAGCTGCACCTCATCAGCTCTGTGCTGCTCTCCCACTCCCTCCCCTCTTCCTGCTGCTCCCAGCCTCCACCATAGCCTCTGAGTCCCTGCTTCACCCACGCCACACCTCCATCAGAGGGCGCCGACAGGTTCTCCAAGGACCTGAGAGGCGTCCGGGGAGCTGCCTGGGAGCAACTATCAATGGTAGAGTCCAGTGCAGTGAGGATGGATGAGATGGCAGCTGAAAGGGAAAAATCAGAATCCTTGGACAAGGATCCCCAGTCCTCATCTTCATCTTTTAAAGACAGAGGGGCATTTGATGCAGGAACACAATATGACAAGTCATTTAAAGTAACCGTAGGGCAACTTACAAGAGCCGAGTGGCTGTTAGAAAACGTCTCTGCGGGGTGCTGTTTTGCGGTGACAACACTCTTGTGAAGTGCAGATGAAGAGCTACAGGGTGGTGGTGACACCTCAATGTCCACAGAGGGCGCTGCAAAAGCTTCCAGGCTGACCTGCCGCAAGGTATTGGCGATCAGGACGGACCTCCGCAGGCTGGGCTCAGGCAGCTCCTGGCCATGATGATACTTGTTCAGGGAAACTGAGAACACTAACTGGCGCTGGCTCTCCCACATTGGGCTGCTCCTGTCTGAGATCTCCACCTCCTCTGGTGGGTGTTTTCGCTTCTGCCCCTTCATGATCATCTTTATACTGTGGAGGAAGGCATAAACGGTTTAGTGGACAGTATTGCTACCAAACATTTACAAGTAAATAATATACAATTTCCTCTGTATTTAAACGGATTTACTGTTTTGTGATTATTCAAATGTAGCTGAATGCAACTAATTGCATGTCGTTAATACTGTAAACATTTTAGATATATCTTGAAAACATTATAATACGCTTAAATTAAATAACCGTGATACATAGAGGGATAATGTAATGCGTAGAAGTTTTCTGTGAACACGAGCTTAGTCTCAGTTAGCTAGAGTTATATGCGGGTTGGGGGTTGTTAGCATTGTCGGTTCAGGAGGGAAACGGAGCCCTTCTCGCCCAAGGCCATTGAAAACCAACAAACGTGATAACAGACACAACACGAGTTAACTATTTAAAAAACTGGGCTTGTTCTGTCATTAAACATTACAAAAACTGAAAGTTAGTCATACATGTAGCAAACAGACCTGTTGAATCACTCCTCGTCCCTCTCCAGTAACGTAAGGTTTAGTAGTGGATACCGTTATTGTTTCTGTTTGTTATGTCGTTTTCCCGCCTCCTCTTCGACCCAAACACAGTTTCCCGTCTCATTAGGAAAAAGTCGGTAGCTATAAACTATTAAAACTTTCAGTTTCGAACTCTTAACACTACAGTTTCACTTCAACCGACTGCCTCGGTGTTCTCCCGCCTGTGATTTGAGCAGAGTGAGTTTCACACCAAAAGCATTCCAGTTGGGGGTTGGATGTTTCGAAAGGCATTGTGGGTAGTTTATGTACGTTACATTAAATCAGTATAATTCCACGTTACAAACACTTGTAACTGTTTATGAGACATTATGATAATAATACACTTCGCAAAATATGTACAGATGGCAATTCACTGATTAATTTCCGCCCATACCGGAAAGTCAAGCTTGTTATTATGTAATTTGCATTGCATTGTACTAATTCCTTAATGATTACATCACCGACAGGAGGATGTCCATCCACATATTGTCTTTTTGTACAAAGCATGACAATTTGTTTGTAAAACACTAAGAGTTACATAAAAATATGGGTTCTAATTGTCTCGTGTTATTTCACGTTTGTATTAAAGTTACTGTAATAAAAAAGGAAAACGTCTTCGAGGATATTAGACTACTGGTCCGGTCATAAATCGAAACTAGAAGATATCATTTAAAATGCACACAATTCACTGACATTTAAATGCAAATAAAGACAAAGCAAAAATAAAAAATTTAAAAGTGTGGATCCTGAAATGTACACTTCCACAGAAAGTCTTTGTTTAACTATAATAAAATATACTATTGACCAAATCAATCTTAATTCAGAGACTGTGTTATTTACCTGGGAGCAACATTCGCCAGGGAGGTTTTCCTATGGACACAACTCGTCTGAAGTAAACTATCAATATGTCAAAGTTTACTGTTTCGATTTAAATTCCAACATTACGCCACCTAAAGAACCAGTCAACTTAAAAAAACAAAAACAGCTTTAGCTCCACCTCGGCCCGTGTGTTGGATGGCGGAGAAAAACAAGTTGACAAAATAAAACAACTTCCTGTACTCTTCCAAAAATAAAATCAGTCGCCTATAGGCAATGCCACAATAAAGAGTGTTTTTCTGTGTTGATATGTAATAACATGCCTAATAAAAACACAACAGTAAAGACATACATATAATCACACTGTTACAATAACAGGTGTCCGATTTGTCAGACTTCATTATATTATACTATTATATTACATTGGCCCTTATATTACATCTTGTATTATGTTAACATGTTGTACTGTTTTACTATATTGTTGTAGATAATATATTTATATTATGTTGCTGTATTAACACAGTATCACTTACATATCATTCTGGCGTACAGTGTTTGTAGACTTGCTGACTGGCTGCTATTGTCACTTTTACTTTGACACTTTGTCTTTTTTATGTGTTTCTAATTTAACACATTTTATTGTCTTGTATACTTGTAATTATGATGTATTTGTTTCCGCTTCTCTGCTTTCCTTACTTATGTCTGTGTGCTTTTAAAGAACACCTCCATTAGCTTTTATTATTTCCTCCTTGCAAGATATTTATTTTCCCTTATTGAAAAATCCAGAAAATGTATATTCAAATTGAAATTACTTTCAAAAGGTTAAGTGTTGGATACAAGATGTCTCCTACACTGTTAAGTATTTAGCTAGTGAGCTTTCGCTACAAGTATTCACATGCAAACTCCAAACTAGACGAGATGTCATAAATCAAGCTTGCACGTGCGCATGTTAAACTCAGAATTAAACTGAGCACAGTTAAACGTTCACCTTCAGCAAATGAATGGGAACATTTTGAGAATTGTGAAGTAACAATGAACATGTTTTTTGAATGAAGGAGGACTTCAATTGTGTTTTGTTGCTAAGACTAAATCAATTTAAAAAAATCAGTGGGAACACTGGTATTGCTGTTTTTAAGTGATTTACTGCAAAATGAGATGCTGTAAAGTTTAAGTAATTATAATTGTATAGTGGTCTCCAATCCTCAAACTAAGAAATCCAGGCTTTATTTTGAAGGAGAAAATCGTTTCCGGGATCATGTAACCTTCTCTTAAGCCACTTGACACATATAGACAGAGGGAGTTTCGCAACAGCTACACATCATGTGTAACACATGCCACTCATCTGACTGACCTAAGGAAACACTCACATGAGCTGAAGTGTAGGAGGCAGACTAAAACAACTGGTTCTGCAAGTATCATATCAAATACACTACCTATCCCAATAGAAAATAAGACAGAGACTCATATTTAATAACACTGATCCAACCTAGTGAGGAAGTTGTAGTATGTACTGTAACAGTTCAAACTGCCATCTATGGATTCACATCTAGGGCCAGAAATAACTTGACCGAGACAGTCTGCTGAACAATAGAGACTAGTTCATGCACAAGTGTTATGGTTTCTAAACATGCATCCAATAATATTTCAATGGTATTGTTTCATCTATTTATTCCACAAATGGAAACAAATAATGAAAAACATTAAAAATAAAACTAATTGAGTTTCTTCTTAGTCCAAAGTCAGTTTCTTTTTATACCCGTTCAATTTTTAGTAAAAGGTGAGAACCATGGTCGTAAAGTTGTTTACTCATATGAAGGTCGATTGGCATGCAGGGTTAAGAGGGTATAATTAAAAAATGTATTCCATTGCAATTAGTAATTACATGTTAAAAAAAATAGCACAATCTAATTATCACAATATAAAAGTAATGAAATATTGAAACTTAACTTTTGGAAGAAATGTTGTATCATGTTGTATTTTTTTTAAAGAAGTCTGCAGCGTATTCAGGCAGTAGACTGTCGACCAACAGTGAGAGACGTGACCATATACAGCAAAAAAGCACCAATAAAAACTGAGAAAAGGCTCCGTTTTAGTTTAATACATACAGTGGATTAAGCTCACCCACAATATTTTCAAGCATGATTTGAAAGATGTAACTATGTTATTTAAATGTATTGTAGCATTGTAAAACTGATAATAATCCCCTTTGTTAAATGTACCAGTAATCTGATTACTTATTCTTTATGGATGTTTAAGTTTAAGGAAACTTTTTATTGTATCCTAATTACATAATGCCATCTTTTATCTAATATTAACAGCAACAGTACTTTGAGTATTATCCACCTATGATCTACTTTAATACTAATTCCCTCTTGTTGTTTGCAAAGCGTAATTAAAGTGAGAAAGAATATTAATATATACGTTTTTTTTATAATTATGTTTTTTTGTCACTAGTGAAAAAACAGGCCGCAGTCCGATCAGTCACACTCTTTCAGCACAACGTTACCACAATAAACACTTTTATTTTCAGATATAGAAACAGACCCACTGTACATGAGAGCAGTGACAGGAGGTATCAAACGATAACATTTTCAAAAACAGAAACATTAAACATAAGATTGTTATTGTGAAAGAAATAAGTGATAAAGCAGTGTAAACAGCTGATGCAGGTTTGGCAATTGTTTTAAAAGATATCCTTATTGCAGCTTGTGTTAAAGGTCCCATGCCATGGCCATTTCTACTGATCATATTTCCATTGTTGAGGTCTCTAGACAACCCGATATCACGGCAAGACGTGAACATGTGACGATTTACCATGCTGGGAGACGTGAAGATGTCATGATTTCGTCCCTTCAAACGTGAGAGTTACACGGTATTGTTAACCCATGTTAACCAGTGGAGAAATAACATAAAATACCAAGCAAATGCTACCCGACGTAATGATTTATTTTTTAATAGTCACACTCGATTACGCCGATTTTCTTGTTGCCACAGCTGGTCGACACCTCTTTTAGCAGAAACAAAGGCTACATTAATGTATTAAATCGATGTTAACCCGTGCGTGTGGATGTGGAATTAACGGACGTGACGTTGTGCGATTGAGTTGCCAAGCAACAGCTTCGGTTCATGTTCATTTACAAACTCTTCAACTAAAACCGTAGTTATATTTAAAAACATGTTAGAAGGCCTCACGAAATACTTTAATGCAAATTAAAATGTAAATGTGAAGGAATGTGTGTATAACAAAATACATCGGTCATAAACGAAACCGGAAACGGACGTAAGCAAGATCCTCAGCTCGATGATTGGATGGTTAGCCACAATGCATGCTGGGATTTGGTGTTTTTGTGATTTGAAATCTGAAAACGTTTTTTAAAAATACAATAATACTTTATTCCGAGTGTGCTTGCTTTTCTCTTTGAAAGTCATCATATAACGGCATTGTAATACACGGTTCGGCTGCGTTAAATATTACATATCTGCCGTAGTTCTCTATTTATAGAGCCCTGCTGAGAAGACTTCTAGACAAACAGGAGAACTGCCGCCAAAACTGAAAACGCGACGTGGATCATAAATATATCAGCAATTAAACAACATCTTACATTTCTTTTCACACAATACGTCTCCTTGCAGTATGAACACTAATTCGGCTGAC